CACCCCTTTCTATTAGCACCCCTCTTCTATTGAAAATTGTTCGACATGAACATCCCCTTCTATTAGCAACCCCTTTCTATTGAAAACTGGCCGACATGAACACCCCTTACTATTAGCACCCCACTTCTATTGAAAACTGGTCGACATGAACACCCCCTTCTATTAGCAACCCCTTTCTATTGAATACTGGCCGACATGAACACCCCTTACTATTAGCACCCCACTTCTATTGAAAACTGGTCGACATGAACACCCCCTTCTATTAGCAACCCCTTTCTATTGAAAACTGGCCGACATGAACACCCCTTACTATTAGCAACCCCCTTCTATTGAAAACTGGTCGACATGAACACCCCCTTCTATTAGCACCCCCTTCTATTGAAAACTGGTCGACATGAACACTCCCTTCTATTAGCACCCCCTTCTATTAAAAACTGGCCGACATGAACACCCCCTTCTATTAGCAACCCCCTTCTATTGAGAACTGGTCGACATAAACACCCCCTTCCATTACCTCCCCCTTCTATTAGAGACACTAGAGTACGTTTGCAAAGTTCGCTTTCTCATCTAAATGGAAACGAAACAAGGGTTTTCTGTTTTCACGTAAGCGTCTATGTGGAAGGGGTTTTAAAGCGTTTGTTACAGGATCATGTCATTTGAGATTTTCTCAGAATTCGATAAGAACTCTGCACGAAAGGGCATGTTCACTAATTTAATTAATTTATAATGAGCTATATGCTTGATTATATGCACACAATTAGCTGAGAATCCCATTTTATTTTGAGCTATATCTTTATACGTATATCCAGTATTGCATGTAACTTGCAAGGATGAAATTTATTTTTCAATCAGACCATGGACGAAATTAGAGGCAAGACAAGTTTTATTGCCAGCGTTGAAGAGAATGAGATTTGCACTGCTCAGGAACTTGTGAAACTGTTACGAGAATATGGTTGGTATCTCCGTAAATTTGTGTTTTATTATGCACCCCTTATATGTCCCATTGATAGGTTTTTACTAGAACTAAATATAGTTTCATTTCAATCCAATGCATTTCCCATGCCTGATTTTTGCCATACTTTCCGGGCCCCTGCGCAGAGTCCAAAAAGACCTTGGAAAATTCCATGTGAGAGTTGTTTATATGCGCGAGGGTTTTTGAAAAGGAAAGGTAATAATTTGTTTCTGAAGGCAGATTTCTGATTTGTATTACGTAGACGGGCATAGTAGTTGATTGGAAGCATTTGATTTGGCTAAGCGTTTTTGGAGCACATTTATTCGAGTGATTCTTGTTCGCATGTATAAATTCAAACAGCAGTGGAAGAGTCTATTTTTTACGAACGAATCAACCATTTCTCAAAAAAATGCTATTTGCCGATAACCTATGAAAGGACGTACTAGAAATCATAATTACTTTCATAGATTTCATTTATAAATATTGTCGTGAACTCAATATTGCTTCGAACGCAACAACTACATGAACAGTTCACGAAGCAAGAAATAGACCTTTTTAATTTTTACCACGCCGAAATAATCACTAAAATCATTACAACTCTACTCACTAACCACCACTAAGAAAAGAATCCCCCTTCACGGGCACACAGCCTCTATTTATACTCCTACTTATTATTACGTAACTTTACAAAAATACCTACCGTGATTACATCATACTTGCGAGATTACCATCGAACGTTCCAGAAATTTCTACGCATACTAATCATACCATGAATTATAATTACAAAGCAATGTCAGCAGGGAATAAACAAAGGAAGTCTTAAACAAAACAACCGCATACGTAATGTTTCTAAAAATTAAGTTAGTTTTCATCACGTGTCTTCGTGGCACTCAGTGACTCCGTCACAATATATAATTTGTTTTCACAAAAATATAAATCATGTTATGTTTCTGTTATCTGCTAAATATGTACCCTAGCATATATTGCTATATAAGTCGTCATACAAAGTCACATACCATATGTTGACGCACATTTTAACTGTCTTCTTGTTCTGATACATAACGGGTATGGCTGTTTAATAATTCTAGATCAATCGATGTGTTTCGAAACATCTCAAAGTGTTTTACAAGGAAAGGCATTCGAATTAATTGATATGTTAGGTTGGATGAAATTTGGCTATCTTGCCAGTGATAGGAATTGTAGCTCTCCTGGTGGACATTGGAAATCTTACTTTTTGCGTCTTTGTGAAAAATAATTATGATAAATTAACAAAAATAACTCCAATTCTAGCCTATTACATTTCAGTAAAATGTTAAAAGAATGCTTGAAAATTACGCTATTGTTCCTTTTGCCACATACGGTGCTTGGAAAAAGTTTCTCCATATCACCCCATTTCCACCTTCAAACGGTGTTGTATTGTGTGATCAATGAGCTTAGGCGAGTCCATTGCAATGCAGTTTGTTGTTCCTTTTTAGGAGCTTTGGTTGAGGTGAATCGCGAGAGACCGAAGTGCTCAACAATTATTCTGATCGACGTTGATTTCATCCTTAATCGAAAATTATCTTCGGATGTCTTTGTTTGGCTTGGAAAACGTGGAACAGAAGAACCCTTCTATCTAAGCAATGGCATTGGAGTGAACAGTCAGCTTTACTATTTGCAAAATGACGTCATCGTACTTGCATATGCAACGAAGACAAGGTAAATAACCCTTACAGTATAGAACAACAGTATTTAAGGTTTACGATTGCTATTTGGAGAGTCAATTGGTATTAATTGTTGGAAATATCATTTAATTTTTGTCATCAACTGTCTTGCTTAAAGTAAGGCGATTCCTGTATGCGAGCCGTGTCCATAGGCTAAAGCATGGAGACAAAGGATGGCCAGTTCCTTCAATGCAGACTTCATCACTCCCCCCCCCCCCAAAATGCAGATACTGTTCTATTCTCGTTTTCTTTAGCTTCCCCGTCGTTGTTAGTCCTTCCCTAAATAAAGGATAGAGCCCAACCTTCAGCTTTCAGAACTGCAGCAAAATTGCCTTACCGCGGTCGATAGCCTGAGCTACTAAGGGACATATATTTTGAAGACAGTACAGCTGATGTTATTTACAGCTGCTAACAAACCTTTAAGGCTGATAGAGCGCTATCCACGAGAGCTAGAAAGAAGACAAAAGTTCCATGAGACAAAAATTCCCTTTATTAAATCGAACATCTACCCAATCTTTAGCACCATGTTCCCTGCCAGAGTTTGAAATAACATATCATTTTGAGTAATCCTGCTCATGCGACTAAGAGATGTGGGATCGGCAGAATTCAGCTTTGTATATCGGAAGTAAATTGCTTCAGATCTAGTTTGCCAAAGCAAGAATATTTCAACCCTTTCATACTATGCATGAGTTTTTTGGTCTCAGTTCAAAAATGAACACTTTGAATTTACTCAGATTTTATAGGGACGTTGTGTGTATCAAAACTACTTGTAAAGCAACAATCTTTATATTATTCAGTATTGATTTTTTATCAGTGTTTCTTGCCTATTTGCAGCCTTTTTTCCAGCCATTTGCAGCCAAGATTTTAATACTCTATATTTACTTGTTTTAAGTGCTCACTTTTTTCCAGCATGGACCGATTTGGGCAAGGAATTCATAGATTTTTCAAGTTAATTGATCTCCCACCAACCATGCCTGTTCTTCTGCAACGTTGGCTCCGACAAAAGGCAACACGAAACTCAGAAAGCCGATTAAACTTCAGGTGAATATCTTTGTAGTTTAGTTTTTACACTTACAGGAGTGTTATGGCAGCGAGATTTTTAATAGCCGGGTTATTGGCTCTTTCACTTCTACAAGCTACTTTTTCCAATTTAGTTTTTAATTTTCTATGAGATTCCTTTCATTGTGTGTGAACAGGTGCTCTCATAATTTCAATCTGGCAGAGTCTTCAGATTTTCAGTTTGTGCTTTGTGCCATCTTCCGAGAGCCCTGTCCAGCTATTCACCTGCCACATGACTAGTGCGAAATTTAGCACTTGATTTTTATGGCTGCTTAACATTTTCAACAATCAGATTTATACCTTTAATGTCAATCTTAAATTAGATACCTTTCTTACAATCCAATCATACTCCCATATGACGTTAATTGTCAAGTCACTCATAGTTTCAGAAACGTTTTAAGCTCTTCCCAGTTCATAATCTCTGAATATTGCTTGATCCATTTTTAGGGAAATTGATAACTGGAGCTCCTGGATAAGCGATGTTTACAGAAGATCTAGAATCGATCTTGAAAAGCTAGACATTAAATTGGATATGCCAGGCTTGTCGTTATTGTGAATCATGTTCATTTTGTTTTCAAAATTTGAAGTTCATTTTTTGTAGATGCCAAAAGTCGAACCATTCAATTTTGTTTCTTTATTTCGTAATTCGTTGTCACTTGTGTAAAAGTTGTTTCATCGTATATCTGCTTAGGCTCAATGTCACCTGGTGCTGCCATAAAATGCTCAAACACTTGTTTTGATATGTCACCAAAACCAAATAAAGTCACGCTCAATTTTCTCAGTATCTTCAGTGCCATTTTGGTTTTTACTGAAAAATATACCAAAATAGATTCAAAGCTAACTAGTTGTAGGTACCAAAGGGACGATTTCCAGCTTGCTTTAAGGAATTGAGAATATGTAAGAATGTGCCTTCTGATCAGATCACTTAGTTTATAGTCTCTTTAATTTTTGCTAGTTGATTTTCAATTGTTCTGTAATTTGGATGCAAACATGAATCGATTCGAAAAGCACTTTGTATTGTTACACACAAAGCCATCATTTTATGGACAGTCAAGCCAATCTGACTGCAATGTGTTTCATAAATTTCTGTTAGTTCATTGGTCGTTTGTGGCAAGACATGATCTAAGCACGATTAACAAACCTGCATATTACTCACTGTCATTGTTTTCTTCGCAGATCTTGGGCTGTTTCTGTCTGCCCCTTTCAGTGATTCAGCCGGCCTTAAAAGGTAATGATTTCATGTTTCATGTCACATAATTTCGTAATATAATACGTTGATTATATTGATGTGGATGAAATGAAGACTTAAGACAACACTCAAAATCTTTCTGGAGTTGTTGGTTCCCTTTCGAAGAAGGCGGCTTAGTCGCGTGCTTTCTGTAGAAATGTGCTGGGAAATCGCTTTATCGTGACGAAATTTACATACATACTGTACAGAAAGCAAAAAGGTGTCATCATAAGTGCCTAGGCCTAAGCAAAAGTTCCTATGGTCCATAGGCTCTATGTTTCGTGCGCCTTAGATAATACTGCGCCTCTGCTTGTTCTTGTGTCTAATACGGCCTTAATGTCATATTTGGTAAGTTGCATGCCGTCTTCCTTCTCCCCTTCCTCGTTTGAAAATAGAAACCCTGCACTAATTTTACATAAGGTATCCTTTTCTTTGCAGCTGGGCTGAAGACCTTTGGTTGCATCACTTTCTGCCACAAGTCGAGAGTTCTGTGGAGGAGCAGGTTGCCGAGGCAACCAATACTCAGCAGGACTTATTGATCCAAGTCGCTCTGAACGCATTCTTAGAAGGAGCTTTTTTGCCGCGCTGCCCATGCAAATTAGATATCGGTTAAGTTAGGACTAAATTTTTAGATATTTTAATCGACTCTACTAGACCTAATGCTGTCTGACCAGGAGGAATGTACTCATATTCCAGAGATTTTGTCGGTGGTCGAAACAGGGAGATTTGATGCTTTCATCAAAAGGAGGGACTTGAAAATTTTATAGAAGAAATGACCTGTCGTTCTCTGATTTCCCTGGTGCAAATCAAGTCCTGTTTCGGATGCCAACACTCTTGTTGTTCATGTGTGTAACACCTTCTGCAATTAGATATTACTTTCACAAAGTTTTTAAAGAGGCCGGAAGTTTGTCATAATGTGCAGGCCTAAGAGGGGACGTATTTTCGTCAAAATTTTCGTCGCAGAGGCACCATCTTTTACCTTGTTACCTAGCAGTCCAGCCATATGATACTCTGGCTACCAGATCCTCAATAAACCGGGGATAAAGTATTGTAGACCGCTTCGGTGGCAAAGAAGGAAGCTCAAATAATTATTGTTGTTTCCTAAGTGCTTCCAACGGAGGGGCTGTAGCCCCCCTAGCCCTTCCCTGGCACCACCACTGATTACACCTTTTAAATACAAAACTAGGGTCTATTTTCAACTTTCCAAAAGGCGGACATTTCCAATTAGCAGACACCTTGCTCTGGTCCCGACAGTGTCCTCTAAATAGAGAGAATACTGTATATTTCTGAGACTAAATAATGGAGACTCTGTCGCCCAGGGTAGCCATATGACTGTCTACTGACAAAAATCTCTTCATATCCTCCTTCAACCCTTCTCAAGATTTATTGAATTACTTATCTTCAGTTTCATTTTAAGCACTTGTTATAAACTGCCGACTGAATCAAATAAAGTTTTATCTTACTGTTCTTAAATACAAATTCACTTTTTCTAAAACGAAATGTTTAGTCAAAGTTACGTTGCAATTAGTTCTTTCAGTTAACAGCGTCAACAGATATGTAAATGAAGGAACCCTCGTTGTAAAATAGTGCTGTACCAGAGCATGCTACGTTTCTCGTTGATAAGTATGGAAAAACCACTGCCCCAGTTTTCAACTCTTTATTATTCAAATCTATTTAACACTTAAGGTGGTGGAAAGGGACACTGTGACTCCTGACAAACTCTAAAAGAACATATTGTACTTAACACAGAACGGCAATTGTTGTACTCAACGACGTCGGAGAATTTTCATTCCACCTTCTGTCGCGCCCTTTCCCGCCCTGTTCACCATTCTATCGACCCGAATCATGTTTGCTAGTTTGGTACATATTTCAACAGTTTTATTGCCACTGTTATCTTGCCTTAAAGCACAAAAATAATAGGTGTTACTACCAACATTATAAATTTTATTCCCGTCCTTTCAATAACTTAGTAACACACTCAGAAAGATCAGCTACTTGGTTTGAAACTGGTGTGTTTACTGTGTTTTGTGTAAACTATTTGAAAACTTGGTACCCTATTCAGGCGCTGTTCACTCAACCTGAACGATACTTACAGACACGGTAAAGGGGATAGAGTAGGAGGGTAAAAGTACCCTTGTCATTTGTCTACGCAATTATCAAGAACATATATACGAGTTTCCGACTGTAGCAACTTTTTCAAAAACTCGCGTGATTATTTCGTATCTGCTAGAAGTGAGCCGTTCATACGCTTATCGGAATGGAAATATCATTTACATAACAGTAGAAGCTGCAAATCACTGTTGCAAATTTTTTTCTTATCATGAAGCTAATAGCCATGCCCCTGGACCGTGCCGGTGTCTTCAACGACTCTAGACCTCAAAGATATTCATAAAGAAATACCTAAATAGATTTTCAATGTAAAGTGAGAAACATATTACTTTATCCTCGGTGAGTATTTATAATAAACAAATTTATAACAGTTTAGGTATTGTGATGTACATGGTAAAAATTTGCCTTATCGATTTCATCCAGAAATCCTGTCGTTTTTTGACTCTCTCTTTCTCTTCTGTCGAAAACAAAAAGAAAGTTCTTATGTTGATGCACAAGGTAAGGTAAGAGCTGAGACATACTTGTAAAGCTTTTCACTGCATCGACCAGTTTCTTAATTCTCGAATACTGAGAAAAGGGACCTTATTTCGACAAGTATTTTGACAAGAAGCTCAAGGGTAAAGGAAAGCGAAAGAATGAAAATTAATCTAAATTATAGGTCCGTGATTAACAGGGGAAGGGGGTCACCCATCAGTCTACTTTACCATTCTTTGTCTCCCCCACCTTCAAACATCACTTTGCCATGCCACATCATTCTAAAGTACCAGGCACCGCGGAGCGTTGAGAAAAGTGGGGTGGTCTAAGAAAGTGGGGGGGGGGGCTAAAACCGTATAAAAAGAGGCTTTTCTGGCAGTTTGATTCTTAATATTTGGCATTTTTATTATTTGGCATCTTAATATTTGGCTAAAGCCCCCCCCAGCCCTCCCTGCTCCGCGGTGCCCGAGTACCTCAGTGAAGTGAGAAGTCATGCGAGTAGGGTCGATGAGAACGGTCTTGCTTTTAGTACAATGTGTTTTGCATTTTACGGGCTACGTTATGAATTGAAGATATACGAAAACAGAACCAAGGTGCACATACTGTGTGTTTATCAAGTTTCAGTAAGCTTTTGCGTTTTCAGTATTGCGTTAACAAGTTAAATCGTCTGGCACGTGGCGAAGTAGGCCCACCACACCTTGAATTCCTGATGCCATTTAAACCTGCAAGTCAAGCTCTTGTCATGATGGGAATACAATCAGGAAGGTTATTAATGATGCTGTTGCAAACCCTCTCTGGAAAGACTACATAAATGACAAGCAGGAGAATCGATGTTGCAACGGAGCCTCTGTAGCAAGAATTATCGGCGCCGAGATGGAGTTGTTGGGCATTCCCTGATTATGAAACTTGCATCGTGGAAGTACTTCTCTGCTGCATTTAAGGGTAAGAAAAAGTTGGTAATTCAGAAAATTATTTTGAATATGACTCCAAGAAAATCAAAGTTTTTCAACGGTCCGAGTGAAAGTGGAAGACAACCTCAACGTCGATTATTCGTTTAAATACGATAAATGAGCATAAAAATATATGTAGGGGAGTCAAACTCTTTAACTGCGAAGAAGAACCATACTTATTTTGAAATGGGAACTCATTGTGTTTGGCTGCGCTAATGGCTATTTTCTCCAGGTATTTTGCCGTTCTCGTGCCAGTTTTTGTGTTGTTTTGAGTTTCTCTTGAACTTGGTGAACAGGGTACTCTCTCTCTCTTTCGGTTGGACTCTCTAGAGAAGTTGTCAAGTAAATTCCCATGAAAATGTTTTTCGAAGGTTCACGCCCGAGTTTGCACAAGTTCACGCCCGAATTTGCAAAAGCTGACGCCACATTTCTCATTGTGATCAAAATTGAGTACATATTTGTTTTCACGCAAAGGGGATTGGATTGCACACATACGTGCTGTTTTCCACTTTTTATCAGAAATACAGTCCTTCTAGAAAATCCACAAAGTTAAGAAAATATTGCTTGATATCAAATTTAAACCTTTTCGGCCGTCGTTGATATGAAGGGTTTGGGAGGGTGGGTTGTGCGTGGTGAAATGGTCGAATTCGTTTTCTTTCGAGTAGATTGTCGACCGTTCCGTTTCATCGTGTTTCGTGATCTACAATCCCGGACAAAAATAGTTGAGACTTTTTAGGAAAACTTTATGTTCTTGAAAAATAACTTCCCCCCTCCCCCAATTCAATGTTGAATGCATGATTTTGTAGCAAAAATGATAGAACTACATACAAATCCAACATTGCTTCGGGGGAAAGGGAGGGATTCGAATTTAGAAGGGCAAGGTGGCGTTAACTCAGTTCAGTTCATTTCATTTTTAAAAATCCATACATACAAATCTTTTAAAATACAGCAACAGGTTACAAAAGATGAAATGAATTGTATATAATGAGAGAAATAGAGAACAAACAAAAAATATATATGATTTTATAAAAACGAAGGAGATTTGCATCCAGAAAATCTTAAAGGGGGAGCTCTCTCAATAGATAGACTAATCAAGGAGAGAGCACGTCCTGTGGTAAAAATAGTAAGATAGTAAGGTAAATTAAGGTAAAGTAGAAAAATGCAAAAATTGCATCTTGTCTCAACATTTTTGTCCGGGATTGTAGTTTCAGTTTCAAGATATTCGCTTCACTTACAGTAAAAAACACATACAGTGATCGATTGGGCTCCTAGATCTTCAATAGTCTTTCAGTGCACAATTTTCTACTTGTGTCTCTTTAATCGAAGCAAATAATTCAGTTTACACTTACGAATTCAAGTGTCAGCGGGCCCATGCTCGCATATATCATCCAAGAAGTTTATCGGACCAAATTGGTCAAACTATATAAGATTTTTTACCCTTGGTACCAAGTATATAACTATATATACCATCAAGATATAATAAGAGAACTCTTGGGTACCATTGAAGGAACGGACAGAGTTGGGCGTTGCTATGGAAGGGATTGGTTCGAGGAGTTGGGAGAAGAGGAGACGTGGGGTCCATTATTAATATACGAGCGAGGAGGGTTGGGCTTTGTTATAGAAGAGAAGGGTCGAATGGGATGACTAGCTTTCTTCAATAAGGTTGGTCTATGGAAACTTTTTATGATTTGATTTTGCAAAAGAAAGTACCAACTTTACAAAGCTTCTTAGGCTATGTTCGCATTGCTCCGTATTCGTTTTTATCCGTTTTCATATCGATCCGTTTTGCCTGTTCACACTGCTCCGGATACATTTGAAAAAGGTATAAAAACGATGACGCGTTCACATTGCTCCGCTCTTGATAAAAAGGAAAACGCCACTAACTGGTCTAGAGCACTCGCGACTGCTAAAAAACGTTTTAGACAACTCACTGCCACTAATATTCCTCCGAGTAGTGTACTAACTTCGAGTTAATCAGCCATGTTAAGAAAAATTGTTTAAATTGGCGCGGTCTAAGCATCTTGCTGTATTGTTGTTGTTGTTAGCGTTTTCAAAAGTATCCGTTTTCGTTGTTCACACTGCGTTTTTGCGTTTTTCAAAAGACTCCGTTTTCAAAAGTCTCCGTTTTCAAGGTGGAGCAGTGTGAACGCAAGGCACAAACCGACACTTTTGTATCTGTTTCAGGGGCGGATCCAGAGGGGTGCGAAGGGGGCTCGAGCATTTTTTGGGGATTAGAGCTTATTCTACCGCAATTTTGTTTATAATTATTTAAACCATTTATTATCTCTTTTACCGAGAAGTATGCACATCTCCTGAATTTGTTATATCCGCTTCAATGCCCCGTCTCACAACTGTTCAACATTGTTATTTCAGTCCATGCATTGAAGTGTTATCAAACTCCCCCTGGTTGTACTGTATAGCATTCTACAGACTCGGAAAGCATTGTCTCCTCTTATAACCAGCCACTTGAGGAACCCGTGGCCTGTCAATTATACGATTTTCTGCACACGCGGAAGTGAATCTAGCCAATCACGGTGCCAGGTCGAGGGGTTCTAAACTTTGGCGCGAGAACCCATAGATTTCAAAAATCCAAATCATCAAAGAATACCGACCAAACCAGGGGGAGTTTCTTCGCTTCAATCTACAGTCAAATGCAGAGTCAAATGTATAAGTGGTTTTATGACCAGGGGGAGTTGAGCTTGAACAGGGGGAGTTGAGGTTGACCAGGGGGAGTTGAATTATGATACAGCACGCGACGAATGCTTAGGCGCAAATTTGCAATATGTTTTCGGGGGTCTTTTGACGATCTTTACCTGGTGCTCGATGCTGTAACGGCAGAACTTGTAAACGCTTTGGTTTATATAACAGAACGGTTTCAAGTTTCAACTCCGTGTTTCACGTCTTATTCATAGACCATGAGGTATGATTTATATTCAGAGGATGAAGCTTGCCCGAGCCTTTGTTATTCTTTTTTTTAATCATTCAAGAACTACATACAAAACATCTCAAAAACTTGCCCTTACTATCCTTGACCAAAAGGGGTTTCCTTATTATTCCTACTTATATTCCTACGAATACTTTTTTCTCTAAAGATTTCAAATTCATAAAAATACTCAAAACAGCAGGCCCATAGCGAAACGTTCAGGGCCTTCTTTGTTTGGTTTGGCATCATATGTCGATGCATGCCATGCATGCTGTGTTTGAATCCCTGTGTTCAACTTTTGTTCGACTTTTTTCTATTGTTCTATTGTCTCTAATGACGTGCACTGCACTTCAAGTTCAAGGGCTTCATTCCACCAGCCACGTTAATTTTTTGGTCAAGCTGATCAAGTTCCAATGAATGGCTGCAAAGAGTCAAAAATTAAATTTTGCTTTGGAAATTTGTGGGCTCGGGCCTTTTGCCACTGCGGGCCATCATATCATATTTGACTACAGTTTCTATACTTTTGTACCCTAAGTGAATATAAGAGGGGGAGAGCTGCAAAATACGTTCAATTGACAAAAAAGCTGAAGCCAAAGTTCCAGGATCTGATCAAAGTGTAGTAAAAAATAACTATGTCAATCAAGGCATCCAAATCCAGGCTTTTTAGTTTATGGAAGACTTTCATTTCATTATGGCTTATTAGCAGGGGGTGTACGGAGTTTGTGCATAGCAACATCCTTGGTTACCAAGCCTTACGTTTTAGCACCCCTCAGAATAATTTCTAGATCCGCCCCTGCGTTTTCATTTGAATCCGGAGCAATGTGAACGGGGCCTTAATCTTTCTTTATTGTCACATTTCTTGCAACAGATTGCTCAACTTCTTGTGCTTTAAAGTCTATTCAATAACTTTGCAAAAGCCATCAAACGTCTGTCAAATTCAAGCCAAACATTTTATACAATGTAGATTCATTTTCCGGTCATCTCAGAATGTCAAATTTTCAAAATTTTTCTTGCCGTCAACAATGGTGGCGGCCTTAAACCCACTGTAAACTCTCCACACCCTAAATTGTGATGTCCCCGATCATCGTTCTTATGCTGTTAAGTGATAAGTGATTCTAATTTATGACCGCCTTTTAATTGAAGTATTTCACATCTTTAGCGAAAATTGCCTGTAAATGTCCTTTGTTGCACGCACTCACTTTTTTTAATAAGAAACAGGCTATAAGAAACGGTAGGCTAAATTTTTTCGTAAGTTAAGGAACAACCCTACCCAAATTGAAAAAAGCTAAGAAACTTTTATAAATTTGCAGTTTTAATTTTCCGAGTTGACACTCGAAACAGTCTTGACATTAAACATCACTGTATATTGCAACACTATACTTGACATGCATTTTGCATTAATTCGCAGTAAATTACACACTCAAGAAGTTTCCGTTTTAAATTTGTTTTGACTTCAACTTGACATTGTTGAAGTTCGATGAGCTTTTCGATGAGCTTGACTGTTTACAGATCTCAACAGAGTTTGTCATTCTAGGAAAACAAATTTCCTTGATCACTTTGTTAGTTTATCTCTGAATGTGAGTGAGATATTTACTCTACCTTAGGAGCACGTTTTAAAAATTCATTACCTAAAAAATTTAAGAAACATGTGAGAAACTATTGATAGCAAAATGGCTGGAAAATTTAAGAAACTGCCTACCAGCACCGGACCTTAGTTTCTTATAAAAAAATCCGTCTACTGAATTTTAGATGCATTCTTACAATCAATGTCTTACTATTATGCAGCACTCCAATTGTAAATATAACCAAATCCGCAATATGCAAACTTTTTAGGCCCCTAAAGGTCAAATTCCCCTTAAGGAATACCATTCCAGTCCGCCCCTGATGGACCAAGACCAGGGTTCTGAGAAGGATTCGAACGAACTTTTGTCCCAACGGTAGATTTTGACAGGTCACACCCTTCAAAGTGCTGGAAAATGCCGATCGTTGAAAATGAATTAATTTTTTGCTTTGTTGTTTGTACGCTCCAGTGGCTGGTTTTTATCAAGCATAAAAACAGAGTCCTTTGT